GGCTGCGCTGACCCGCAGGACTCCCGCACCCTGAGGGGTAGGAGCGGCCGTCACGTCCCGCTGGGTTGTACCGAAGTGGCACCTCAGCCGTTCTGGTCCCTTATTGTTCTGCTCTGCCTGAGCAGATTCCGCCCGCACAGAACTGAATTCTGTTCTTACTGGACCTTTCCAGACCTCGTAGTGACACATTTTCTTGGAGCCGTCCCGTTTCCCGGTGTTTTCCATCCTGAGGGAACCATTCATGGCGTTGTGAGTGACGGTGTAGTTACAGTTATTGTTATTTCAGCTATTCATAACGTTCAGTGGTGCACTTTCTTAATGGGGGTTGGTTAGTTCCCTCGTAGTTGCACATCCTGCCCACAACTGGCACTCGTGTTGATGTGCAGGCAGGAAGTTCCTCCCTCTGAAGCAATCATGGAGTGAGAAAGAGCTTGAGGGTTTGATGCTATTTTGAGAAGAGTTTCTCAGGCAGCTACATTCAGGGAAAGGCATCTTTTCTGAGGTTTTTATTTCAGCTAACTGCTTACCAGTTCAGACGTTGGTAGCACCATATAGAAATGCAGTACTTTACCAACAAGACAAACGTGACTCGAGAACAACATGCTAAGAGAGATTAATGTAGATTTTCATCAACGTGAAAGCCAGCAGAGCATACAGGAGGTATATTTTGTTGAACAGGAAACAGTTTGAGCTTCCATTATCAATGGATGAGAGCGTAAAAGAAAAAAAAAATTAAAAATTGCTCATTACTGTAGAAAACTTGCTAATCCAGAGAGGCAGAATCTGCCCCACATTAGAAAAGTGAAAACACAATGACTAATCACACCCTGAAGAGAAGCAGCATCTGTTGCCTTCCTGAAAAAGGTGTGATGTGGCTGATAATAGCAAGTTTTCTTCCTCAGCCCTGTTGACCCATGTGCGGTAACTCAGACTGGTTTGCTAGGAGGTGGTCTTACTGGCGCACCAGGGTGGTAGCAGAGGGGATGAAAAAAAATACAGAGAACCTTTGTTTCTCTGAGAAGCTCTAGAAGGGAATTCCATGTAAGCAAAGATCCAGAGCAAGTGAGAACAGACTATGAAGAACATGAAAAAAGGGGATGAGAAGCGATCCACAAAACACACGGGGAAAGGTGAGGTATTTAGAGCTACAAAGAGACACCCGTCTGCAATATTTCAGGAGCAAATGCGTGTAACAGGTAACACTGGCTCCCGATAGTTGCAAAAATGGAATTCAGAAAGAGTTTAACATAATTTTGTTCAGGTAACAGGGGTTAAGGGAGAAAAGAATGAAGCATTCTGGAGACGGGAGTTTCCCATGTCTGTGGACGTGTGTGTTCACATGTTTGTAATGCTTGTTGAAGGCTGACGTGTGTTTGTGTGCACGGGTGAAAACTGGAGTGTCTTAACACCAGCCCTCCTGTGATTTCAGGTGAAGATGTTTTGCTATTAAAGCGGTTTGGTCACAGAGGGTTCCAGCTGAAAACTGCACCGGGACAAGATCACGGCGAGGCGCCCGCAGGCTTGAGTTCTGCTTGACATGGCCATGTTCCACTAGACCTGCCATGACGGCATTTTTTCCCAGTGTTCCCAACTGGATTCAAGATGCAAAGCAGGAGGAGGAAGAGACAGGCTGGAAATTAGTCCCCAGATCAAGAGGTGAAGAGACCGAAAGTCAGGGAAAATGCCAATGTGAAATATCGGAGACCTCCTTCACTAATGTGGACAAGCTGAGAACTCACACGCTTTCTCATACTGAGCAGAGACCCTACAACTGCCCTCAGCTGCACTGTGGCAAAGCCTTTGCTTCTAAGTACAAGCTGTATAGGTAGGTAACTGCTGAGTGCCTCTGCCCAACAGTGCTCCCCTGCCAGAAGAGAGGGGAAAACCCCTCCGTCATGTTTTTTTGCTTGAATTTCTGAGAAGGTGGAGGAGGGGGAATGCCCTTCTTACCTTGCAAAGCAGTTGAGTCCCAGACGTTACCATACTTGGCAGCTCTTTAAGCACCTTCCAGAGAACCTCAGATAATACCTTATCCTGAGCTCAAGCTGTTTTCTGTTTTACTGAGGAGGAAATGGAAGCAGAAAGTGAAGTTTGCAGATTAAAAAACAAATTGAAAAGCAAGAATAGCAGCATTCACATTTCATAAGCCCTACCTCTAACTTTAGTCACAAGAATGTTTCTATGGCAGCCATTGTTCTAGCATGAAGAAGTAGAGTTCCTATTTAGGTATGGAAATATAGCAGAGAATAATTAAATGATACGATCACTAGGAACTTGAAACTAGATGAACCACAGTGTCAGAGAGTGTAAGATACCAAGGTGAAATCAGTCCACAGTGGCGGTCAGCAGACATTGCCACAGTCTGATGCCTCCTGATGAAACGAAGCCGTCTCACCAGCAGACAAGCATTTCTTGTCACAAACTGCCAAGGTTTTCTTTGTCATGTCCCCCTCTGATAGCCTCAACAGAGAGAACAGGAGCTGAGTAGACGACTGAAGTATACCCGTGCGGAGGCGATGCGCTCTAGGGCGGACGGGCACTGCTGAGACAGACTCTGTAACTGTTGCTTGAAATGTGCTTCTGTGCCTGGAGAGTCCCTGCTGCCCAGGCTGCCAGGGCAGCGTCCTTTAGTGGCGGTAAAACGCCGCTGGGATTTCTGTGGCATAAAGCGTAGAACACGAGGCAAGTTTTGAAAAAGTAGCGTGTGTTCTCTTAGGGGTTGGACGCTAGTCTAAACTGTCCTGCTTTTCTCCCAAAAGGCATATGGCCACGCACTCTGCTCAGAAGCCTCATCAGTGTATGTACTGCGAGAAGATGTTTCACCGGAAAGATCACCTCCGCAACCACCTCCAGACCCACGATCCCAACAAGGAGGCCCTCCACTGTCCCGAGTGCGGCAAGAACTACAACACAAAACTCGGCTTCAGGCGACATCTGGCCATGCACGCAGCTGCCAGCGGCGACCTCAGCTGCAAGGTATGCCTCCAGACGTTTGAAAGCACCCAGGTCCTGCTGGAGCACCTCAAAGCTCATTCCAGGCGGGCTTCTGGTGGAGCGAAGGAAAAGAAGCATCCGTGCGACCACTGTGATAGGCGCTTCTACACCCGGAAAGACGTGCGGAGACACTTGGTCGTGCACACGGGGCGGAAGGACTTCTTGTGCCAGTACTGTGCTCAGAGGTTTGGGCGGAAAGATCATCTGACCAGGCACATGAAGAAAAGCCACTCCCAGGAACTGCTGAAGATTAAGACAGAGCCAGTGGACATGCTGGGTCTCCTAAGCTGCAGCTCCTCTGTCGCAGTGAAGGAGGAGCTGAGTCCCGTCCTGTGTATGGCATCCAGAGACATGATAGGGGGTAAGAGCTTCCCTGGCATGTTGCCTGTGGGCATGTACAGCACGCATCTCCAAACCATGCCAAGCTCAGGGATGCCCCATTCTTTGGTTCCTAATTCTCTTCCAATGGGAATGAGCTATCCTCTGGAGTCGTCCTCTCCCATCTCCTCCCCACCGCAACCTCCTCCAAAGTATCAGCTTGGATCTACCTCATATTTGCCTGAGAAACTACCCAAAGTAGAGGTGGACAGCTTTTTGTCAGACTTCCCTGGCAGCCTGTCTCTCTCATCTGGTGAGCCTCAGTCCTCTTCGCCTCAGCCACCCCCCCTGGATGAGGCTTTGCTTTCCAAGAGCCCTGCTAACCTTTCAGAGGCTCTCTGTGCTGCTAACATGGACTTCTCTCATCTCCTTGGCTTCCTCCCCCTAAATCTTCCTCCTTGCAATCCACCTGTATCATCGGGGGGATTGGTCATGGGCTACTCACAGGGGGAGACACAGCCACTGCTTACCACTTTGCAACACCAACCTCAAGAATCCCCTGGAGCTGGGGCCTCGCTGAACTTTGGGCCCCTCCATTCGTTGCCCCCTGTCTTCACCTCCAGCTTGAGCACAACCACGCTGCCGCGTTTCCACCAGGCATTCCAATAAGCTGAAAATCGCACTGGAGAACAGATCTTTCGGTCACCCTTTTGCGGAGAGCCTTAAAAACGCACAACTCTTCCTTCCCTTTGGGGTGTGAAAGCTTTGCAAAGCTGTTTCAGACAGGAGGTTTCTGATCTCTGGAGGGAGCACTTGTAGACTGGACCAGCAGATATCCCCGTGCAAGTCCCAGTCCTGTACAGCGAAAAGATTTCAGCTAATAGACTGGATATATTTTATCTAATTTTTAATCTGTGAATCAGGAGCCGCGCTTAGCACTGACCTTCCCCGAGATCCTGGAGCTATGTTCCTCTTCGGGAAGGGACTGTCCCTGAGAAGGAGTTGAGACTCTTTCATCTTGGGCTAAACTTTTGAAGAGTCCAGCTTCCATTTCATGTTATCACACTGCAATTCTGGCAAAACAGCCAACGCCTCCACACGGAGAAGGAGGAGAAGTCAGGATACCCGCTCTGTATGAAGCCAACGGGGAAGAGGCTGTCCTTCCCCACTACCTCTCGTCCCGTCACCTAATACAGCTTACTCCGCCGAACACAGCTTACTCCACATCAGTGTTAAGCAACAAGACCGTTTACATAGTGAATTCAGAGACATCACCTCATTCTTCTTTGGGGAGCCATTAGGTTAAACTCGTTACAGTGAACATTGTTTACACAACACAAATCAGTTCCTGCCATTACGATAATAGGAGGCACCAGAATACACTGGGTTTGTATCTGGTGTAGCTAGAACACTGTTTACACGACGAAGTCAGGTTGCACTGATTTCTCTTCACTTATCATGTTCTTCCCCCATGGGGAAATACACTGCTTTTGGACCACTTCAGCCTCTGCCGCCGTAGGCAGCAGCTTCCCGCGTTTTCTCTCTGGCTATCCGCGTGTCGAGGGGATGGAGCAGCTCTCACAACTTAGCTCGTTTTCGTGGTGTATGGATAGAGCCCTTTGAAATATCTCCCACAGGCAAACAGATCGTGCCTCTGTTCCGGAAACCAAAGCATGTGAAGAAGCTAGGTTAGGCGCTGGGGCCGGCGGCACCGCGCGCTGTCCTCCCAGCGTGGCCGAGGTCGGGCTGCAGGGCCCCGCGCCGGGGGCTCCCCGGAGATGAGGAACAGAGTACGAGTTTCTGATTTTTTTACCACAACAGTTCCGTGAGGTCAGTACCCTTTTGCCTCTCCATGAAGCAGTCTCAAGAGAGATATTTTTACCTCTGTCCTAGGGTGATGGCATCCAGGAATCGGGACGAAAAAATTGGTCCCAGCTTCACCTACGCTCTACCAGCGTATTTGAAGCGTTTTCCCCAACACTAATCGTTCTCAAACGCTGAGGGTTTGGGCCCGCAGTCACCCTTTCACTTAGGATTTGGTTCCCCTGGCCTTTCTGTTCTTTCCTTCTCGAGCCTTGTCTCCTGAAGTTCAAGCCCTGCTTCCCCTGCTCCCTGCCTCACCTCTTAAATTCTTCCGCGGACTGTCTGCCCGCTGGGGGCGGAAGGGTTACGCTGTGAAGTGGCAGCCAGCCGCCGGGGACACTGAGCATCTGCGCCATCTCCCGCTCTCGTTGTCCTGGGCACTCGTACTGCAGACGGTGACGCGTGGAGGTCGATCTCGCTGTACCTTGGCGCATGTTTATGAATATAGACACGCAGATCCCGTACCTCGGCCCGGAGGAACCGTTGTAGGCCAATATCAACCAGGAAATCTGTCAATGTTGTTCTCCCTCAATCTAGAAAATGCAAAATCTACCTCTGCTCTGTTATCTCAGCTCCTTCAGCGAAGCCAGATGCTGTCCCCCTCGTCTCCCCGGAGCACATCCGTTTCAGTCGATGCATAGTACCTTCTGCCGAGCCACCGATCCCACAGCGTGACGTTAGCCGTGCCTCGTCCGTTCATAGGCTTGTCCCCTTCCAGTTTACTCAAGAATTTTATTTTTAATTTAGTTTAGTAATTCTTCCCAGAATGACTGTTTAGTGATCCATTGACTCTCCAAAACATAGATCAGTTGTTTTAGGTTAGCCAGCAATGCTGCAAATAATACTTTTGTATCAAAATGTAATATAAGATTTATTTACCTCAGCAATCTCCTGTGGCCATGATCTCCCCGAGTTAAATGCAGTACTTCCTTCTCTCCACTGTAAAATGTTGCCTTTCGAAGTTCAGCGAGTGCCTTCTTGTCCTCGAACACAGACGAGGTAAATGGGACATTTCAGCTAGTCTCCTCTTTACCGTCACCGAATACCTCAGGCCTGCCTTCCGTTGCTTTGCTCTTGGCAAGTTCAAGTTTCGCACCGTTACCGATGATATGCAAGCCTTATCCCCGTCCTCAGCTGAGAGGATTTTTTTTTTTTTTAAAGAAATAAATAGTGGGAACTGATCACTTACTGCAAGTGAGGGTCATCGGATTTATGCAATGCCATCGTACCCCTTCTTCTTTCAGAACATTCGCCTTTCTCGCTTTTTGCCTGCATTGTACTCTGAACAGACGTCATCACTGGAATTCCTTTAGCAGTGGTAGCTAAACTTAGAGCCAGGCATCTTTTTCTTACCAGTAGTCTGTCAAAGAATAAACGGAATTCATTTTGCTATTATTTGCACGTGTGATTTGCTTTCACAGCTGTTCCAACGAGCAGAATTGCAATAACATTTGTCAATGACGGGGAGTTCACCCCAGCAAAGGGAGCGTGTCCGGAGGCGGCGCGCCGGAGCCGATACCGGGTATTTGCACTGGGAAATGGATTTGAAGTTCCCGTTCCACAGCGGGGCTTAGGACCTGCCAGCGTTCTGTCAGCCCGGCTGAAGCGAGCGAGGCTGCTTCCCTGTGAGATGCCAAGTACGCAAGTCACAAAACAATTATTTCCTGAAGCTAGTTAGCGAACAACGCTTACCCGTTCATAAAAAAAGCTCTGAGCACCTAAGCTACACCGTTTGGGAATCTCAGTTCATCAGGAAGCGTGTTTAGCAGAGAGGTTTAGGTTGGACATTAGGAAAAATTCCTTCACGGAAAGGGCGGTCCGGCCCCGGCGCAGGCTGCCCGGGGCAGGGCGGATCCAAAATCGGGTGGATGTGGTGTGGGGGACGTGGGTCAGCGGCGGCCTTGGCAGCGCTGGGTGAACGGCTGGGCTCGAGGATCCTAAAGGTCCTTTCCAACCGAAAGGATTCCGTGATCCTACGCACCGAGCTGTTAGGAGACTCGGCAGAAGTCGGCTCCGACAAGCTCCCGCCGACGCGACGGTAGGTAAACGCGCTGGCAAACCGACCACGCCGCGAGGGCGACGGCTGCGGCACAGCCCGGGACACCGCTCTGTTGGCCGTGTGCAGGACGTTTGCGCATAGGGGACCGGCAGCCGCTAGCTAGTTAGGTGAGGTCAATAAAAGAGTTTCAGCCCAGAAAGGGTTTTTTTGGGTTTTTTTTTGTTTTACATCAAGGTTTAGGGACGTTGAAGTCAACGTGCTGCTTTCTCTCCGTTATTAACGCAGGCCACGGCAGCCTGCAGGGCAGGATGGTGAGTGTGAAACAGGCCCACGGCATCGGTGGCCATGGCCGCAGGACCAAGCGTTGCCGCTCCTTACGGCGGCCTTTGGCCGAGGGCCGCGCGTTAGGGGCTCCAGGCACGGGACCGCCGCGAGCCAGCCGGGACAAACACGAATGACCCATCGCGGGAGGCGCAAAGTGCCTTTGATGGAAAAGAGGAGTTTTTAAAGCGGTGTTTTCAGGGGCTCAGTGACTGCGGGAGACCGCAAGCTCGGCTGGGCTTTACACCGAGGCAGGGCAGCGGAGAGGCGCCGAGATTCGCGCCGGCACGCGCCGGCCGTAGGAGGGCAAGGTGAGGGGGAGGAGGAGCCAGTCGGAGCTGACACTCGCCTGCAATGAACGTGACGCCGCATCTCGCGCTCTTGTCCCACGAACGCAGTACGAGGCAGCCGCTGAAGACGCAGAGCTTTTGAAGTGCTCAATGGAGGGCTGCTTCAGCGGGCGAGCCCTGCGAACCGCCCCGGTGGGAGGTTTGTCTTTATTCCAGGCACATCTGTATCGGAAACGTGGCATCGGGTTGAGCCCAAGAGGAGCAACGACAGCAAATAAGTGGTCAGAAGGGGTCAGTTAAGTAAAGCAAGGTTTTAAAGTGCGGCTGAGGTGGGGAGGGTTCAAGACCCACAGGCGCAGTGCAGCCAGCTAAGGTGTAAAATCCTAGAGCACGAGTCTGTGACGGGCCAGGACAGGAACGTGCCAGCGGTTAGAAATGGGGCCCTCGAGTCGCAGAAGGGCCAGGACGCCATGTCCCGCTGGAGACGAGCGCGATTCCAGCTCGCGTGCTAGAAAACACCTAAGCCGTCCCGGTGGCAGCGGAGGGTTAACTCACCGGGCCAGGCCCCGCCGGGCTCAGAGCTCCAGAGCCGTGCGAGATCTTCTTCCCACGGGATTGCAGCTCGCGCAAAACCCCTTTGTGTGACGGACCAACGCGTTCGCTCGCCTTCGCTTCCCCTGCGCGGCGCTTGACGGAAGATCCACGTACGGCAGTTTGGCAGGCGCTGCTCAGCTGCCTCCAACAGCGCCCGCTCTTCAGCCTCGGCGTTGGAAAACGTCGCTTCAAGGGGAATCCCGTTTTCCCCGCCGGTAGGTTGATGATTTCAGGACTTTTGTTGGGAGCTGAGCTCTTTGTTCCTTAATTCCTTCCTTGCTGACAGGTGAATAGCAGCTGCTTGGAAGGGTTCCTGCAGTTCAGTTCACTGAAAAATCCCCATTTCCTTTCTCTGCCGTTGCCTCGCCTTTGCTCTCTGGAAAGAATAACCCCGCCGAGGCCTGCAATTAAAATTTTTACAAAGAAATCTTCAAAGATGCTCTCCCCATCACCCTACCGTCTCGCTTAGCCCCCCAGCCCTGGTTGCTCAGGCTCCCTCAGTTCGCCCTCGGGTGCCTCTGCCGAGTTAATCGCCTGCCCGCGCCCCGCCACTATTCTGCCGCCAGAGCGACGCGGCTGGATGGCCTGGACAGAGCCGCTGC